TGCTCGCGCCTGACCCTGTCCGCGTCGGTTGAGCTTCTCGTTTGCTCCCACGCTTGTCTCACCGGGGGCCTCGCTGCCCGCTTGCATGCTGGCCTGTAAGTGCCGCTTTTTCCAGAGGCGTAGGTCTTTCCTGCTTTTGCCTCGTCTTTTCTTGCTCAGGACAGACCTTGTACGCAGTGAAGTGAAGTGAAGTTTAGGGTTTAGGGGGTTTAGGGGGTTTAGGGTTTAGGGGTTTAGGGTTGAGGGTTTAGGGGTGTAGGGTTTAGGGTTTAGCCGGCAATAATCATCACACTATGAAGGATCACAATGCATAATTACTCAGATACAAATGGGTCATAGATAAGAAGAGCCACCATAATCATAAGTTTAACGCTACCCGCCCGCCTCGGCTGCTGAGGGGCAGGGGGCACGGGAGACACGTCGGCAGAGTTGGTGCAACGGCTTCAAGACAAAGGCCGACAAGTGACGTAAAATCAGGCGAAGCTGGGCGGGGGGGTGGAAAGGACGCCAAAAACGGGGGGATAACTGCGCGCCCACTTTGTGCTGCTTCTTGTGGTTGCTGGGAGCTACATGATGCTCTTAAGCAGGAAGTACTGTAGCGGATTGCAAGTAACACTGGCGAACATACCGAAAGTGCCACGGCTGTCACACGAAACAGGGTTTAGCATAGGATTGAGAATCTACTGAAGCAACCTGTCGTGTGACATGCCAAATCGCATCATCACATGTCTTTTCATGTCATAATCCGTCACATCATATCGTATCTTACCTTATCATGTCATGTCATATCATGTCGTATCATGTCATGTCATCTCCTATCATGTCAGATCATGTCATATCACACGACGGATTGCTTCAGCAGATTCTCAATCCCATCTTCAGCCCTGTTTCGTGTGACAGGCGTGGTACGCTCAGTATGTGTACCGGTGCTACTTTCAATCTACTACTTCCTGCCTAAGAGCCTCACCAGGCCGTAAGGGCGGCTAGCGCGTTCAAAACTCGCGTTTTAACTGTTTCCAAGCCCTAAATGCGACAAAAAAGCGTTCAACGTCCAAGCGGGAAGCCTGTTTCCTGTCAGGTGCAGTAGAATCGATGCGAACGTCCTTTTTCGAAGGGCGCGATGTTCCCCATGAGGTTAGTCATCCTGCCAATAAGGGTCATAGAAAAGAAGAACGACCGCAATCATACTCACAATCGTAGTACGAACAATGATAAGAGCGTATAAGAACATTTAGAATGATAGTAGTGGTAGCAAATAGTAAGACCAGTCATCATCATAGTCACAATGCTCAGACAAGGACCCTCCTCGTATCCTCAAATAAGGACATATTTGGTCCCAAGTAACGCATATTTAGAGTTGAGGGTAGATGGGAGAGTCTAGGTAGTTGATACTAAAGCATAAGAGCAATCATAACCATGGTCATAATCAGAATAGCGATAACCCTAAACCCTAAACCC